AATATATCTGGACCGATATTTCGGTCTGAATATCCGATTCCTGTAGTAGTGCAAGGTATACTAAATCATAACGTTTGTACTGCAATTAATTGGATTTCCTATTAATGTAAGAATGTAAGCAGTATTACAGTAAGAGCAATGATGCTTTTTCTTACCAAGTAATGCTTACTCTAGTTGTTGCTTATTAAATATAAATCCTTGATTCTTGGGTCAAGATCAAGGATTCAACACTATGGTAGCTAAGTGTGCTCGCTTTACTCGATACTTAAAATCTCAACGAATATTTTCCTCAGTGAAAGTATATAGTGTGATCACTTGGAGGATATAGAACTGAACTTTGACAAGGAAACTACTCATATACTTGTAAATATGTAGCGTAAAATGAGGAAAGAAAAACTTTCAATCTTTTAGTTTACGCAATGGGGAAAATAAAATAATGCGATAGCAAATTGTTGCACTAATAAATAAATAGTAGTTTGAGTTTGAGCAATGATAATAAATAGCAATACTAGAAATTTGAACAGGTTTCCACTGGTAAAATATTTTAAAGATTCTAAAATTTAAAGTTTCTTCTGTATATGAACTTTCTACTCACAAAGTGATTTCCTTTTTTACCAAGTTGTTTCAAATAAACTCATGCGCGTGTACGTGTGACATAGGCCTAATGCATTGTAATGGCAGGAAAGAAAACTACCAAACATTGCATCATGGAATTGCATGTGGTGCAAGAATGAGAACATGTAGAATTAAAAATAGAAATGGAATTTTTATCTTTTTTTATCTAGACTTTCCATTCAAAATGTTAATATACTATCAGTGAGTCTCTATGGATATGTAGGATTTACATTTAGGGAAAACCGTGAGGAGGTAAACTAATTATTTTTCTCACTCACTTTAGATTAATGCTGTAGAAAATTGATTGGGCCTGTAGTTGATAAGCTTCCAGTTCTTTGTTCCGATGAATCAATATCGAGTTACCTTAATGCAAGGAACTGGAATACAAAGAAGGCAAGCATGATACTAAAAGATACCTTGAAGTAAAGGCTACAATACAAGCTAGAGAAGATACGATGGGTGTGCATTCAATGCTTTACATTCTCTTTTTTTTTTTTTTGTTACTTTGGTTTATTTTCTTGAGTATTAGAAAAACCACTCACCTAATACGCAGAAAAAGGCAAATTATTAAGTTATTATTTATGATTGTGTTCACTTTAAATCTGCTATTATTTTTTTTTTTTTGGTTTTCAGTCCAGTATCCGAGGCTTCACCCCGACTACTCCGGACTCGACCAGCTGTGGCGCACCAGAATGGTGGGTGGGTCTCCCAACGAAAGCTGCTGCATACACAAGGTTTCGAACTCGAGACCTTGTTTAAGCTGGAACAAACCGCTTGCCACTTGATCTAACCCCTCGTTGGTTAAATCTGCTATTTAGTTGCTTGACATTGATCCCTTAACTGAATCATGCTTGATAGCCACAACAAGGAATATTCAACTAATTTTTGTTCTACACCCTTCTCACTCCTTATTAATATGTTTATTTATTGCCATCTTAGTGATAAAACAAACTACTGTTGTTTAGAGCTATGGCCTTAGAGCTACCTCAAAATAATGTCACATATTGTAGTTAAATGCTTATTTATGTATTTCAAAGCTACTATTTTTGTAATTATAGAGAGAAATTATTTATTTTCTTGTTAAGATTATCTTTTGTAATGCTCTTAAGAAGATGTCGCACTTGAAGCCGGGACTGGAAAATATACAGGGCTAATTACCATGAAAAGGTTGGAAGGATAGTTATTGTTATGCAAACTGGTTTCTAGGTAAACATATATTAGTTTGGATGAATTAGCAGTACTTCTACTTGTGGTATTGATTATGGTAACATGTTGATGATTTGTACAGGTTTACTCTTTCAAAATACAAATTCATCTAAAGAGCAGATAACATACTTGGATTATTGCATGGAAAAGGCAATAATGAATATGAAGCAAGGCTAGGAGTAGATGGTTTGGCTAATAGATTTCCACAGGTAGAATATATCATCCATATTAGTGAAGGTGACTCAGGAAACAGCTCATAAAATATATATAAATAGCTAAATAAATATCCATATAAATATAAATATATATAATATAGAAATATCATTATTACTATAAATGTAAATTTAAATAATTATAAATATGTATCCATATAAATATAAATATGGCTTTAATTTATTAACTTATAACAAAGAAAATATAAATAGTCATCCATCCCTTATTTAGTTGATTAAAAAGATCAAACAAAATACATCTAGTCACTATCACTCTCGGTTAGATAATTTAGAACTTCTTCTTTTGATGTTTTTGTTCGTCAAACTTTTCCTCTTCTTATCATCCCCATCCATACATTGCCACATATGGCAATTGTATGTCCTTATTAATCACCACTCGTTCTCCTCCCCAAGATGCTAGCGAAACATGATCATCTAAAATAGTTGAGGGTTGCACCAATTGTGGCATAGAAGGATTATCATCTTGATAATAATCATTTACACCATCACCTAGCGATGAAGTGTCAATTATTTCTCTTGCCCTAATGTTACATGCAACAAACCACCCTTTCCTACAAGGATTTTAAGATGGATAATAGATGTAAAACACTTGTTGGGCTTGATTTGCCAATATGAATGGTTCATCTGTTTGTAATTTAAATTGAGGATTTATGTTAACTATACAAATGTCGAATGGACCATAATGCCTTTATTGATATCATACCACTCATAATTAAACAAAATCACTTATTAAAGAACATAGAAGTCAAAATATTGAAGCTCAATAACTTTTTTCAAACTCTCATAATAATCAAACTCATTATCATTGAAAGTGGTTCTCGTGACACAAAAACTACTATTCATAGTCTTTTTATTTTGTCCATATGTGGTCGTATGAAACAGAAATCCACTAACCCAATAACCATTATATACCTTAACGTTATAGACTGGCCTAATTACTAGAGGTAAAAGGTGAGGATCAACCTCGTATCTTTTGCTATGCACCTATATATATTAGAAAATATTAAATATTAAATATTAAATAAAATAAAAAAAGGAAGGCCTAATAATAGAAATTATTATAATGAATGACTCATTGTTGTCTTAAACTAGAGAATAACTTATGTTGTCATTTCATTTGAATTTGATCTGTTGTATACTAGAACACACTAGTTAATCAAACAAAATACATTAAGAAGTTGGAGTAAACAATCTATAAATACTATTAGCCTAAGAAATGAAAGTTAGAACTAGAACATCCACAATCCATGGATCAACTTCTTCACAATTAAATAAAACATAAAGTTCTACTACCTTTAATTCTTTAGGTGATAATGCATGCCTGCGCATATCTCCACCTAGAGGTTGACCTCAATTTTTAAAGATAGATAAACAATCATCCATATCATCATTCCCATTAACAATGTTTCTTGGTTGGCAATTCAATCTTGTCTCTATGTCAAGTCCAAAATAGTGTGAGCAAAAGAAAGTAATTTTTGAGAGAATTTTAAACTAGTAGATTAAAGCTTCAACATGATTTTTATTCAACATGATTTTTATTCAACATTTTCTTCTTAAGGTCATGCATTTTTTTGTTAAATAAATAAAAAAATTAATCAATAAAATTAAATTATTGAGCACAATTAAGAATATTATTGTGGTGCAAATACATTAAAAGAAATATGCCTTTCAAAATGGTACATCCAACATAATTGGATAGGTCCTCCAACTTTTGCCTAGTATGGTAGATGGATTACCAAATGCTCCATCAAATTAAAGAATGTTAGAAGGAATACTTTCTTTAACTTGCAAATGGCTCAACAATTTTTTCCTCCTGCATCTCCATGTTACTAACTTGAATAACCAGAGCGGATAAAGCTCTAAATAGTTACTAACATCAGTGAAGGACCCCAAACCTCGTTTATAAGGAAATCACGAAAAGCAATTGGTAAAAGATGCTGCATGAATACATGAAAATCATGGCTTTTTATCCTAGACAATCAAAGATTCTACATGTTAAAAACATTTTGTTACATTGGATGCATACAAATTTGGGAATCTCAATTCCTTCAACCATTGACAGACAAAAGCTTATTGCTCTCGAGTAAGAACATATGTAGTATTAGGTTTTATAGTCATTTCATCATGTTGAGGTATCAATTCCAATTCAGATCTATTACAATATAATTGTAGATCTATTCTAGAATTTTTGTTATTATCGTACAACCCTTGTCATCCATAATAGTATTTTTAATGTTATATAAAAAATTCTTCTCATAATGCATAATGTTAAGATTATGATGAATCAGTAAATTTTTTTAGTATGGTAGTTCCCAGAATATGCTTCATTTCATCCAGTTATGAAAAACGCCAAATCCTGGAATTGATTGTTTATGAAGTGGTCGGCCAAGAACTATGTCAGGGAGTTGATTAACCCTTTTCCATCATCAAACTACCATTTAGTCTAGGGGGAGGGCTTTTTTCAACTTTGTTTACATAGAATTTTTTTTTTCTCTACGAAATGGATGTTTAGGAGGTAGAAATTGACAATGAGAATAAAAAAATGTTGTTTTCCTCTTAAATCAAAACATGCCATAACCTCAAAAATCATTTTTAGTCTATAACAATGTGTAAGGACAGGGCCGAGGTGCCCAACCTCGGATGAACGACAGTAATTCCTTTACAACCGGAGTGAAGAGTAAATCCAGAGTTTCCCACTCGAACAGCTACACAGCAGTTACGGTGGACATCCTCACATCAAATCCAGAATATCTTGCTTGGCTCAATCTCCCAGTCCCAAAATAATTGCCTGGAGATGCACATCAAATCCCGAATATCTTGCTTGGCTCAATCTCCCGATCCCGAAATAACTACCTGGAGATACACATCGAATCCCGAGTATCTTGCTTGGCATGCCACGTGGGTTCTTCATTGGAACATATAAATACCCCTCAAGGGCCACGCCAAAAGGTGATTGAAACCAACCCTAAGCTCCTTGCTTCTTCGTTCTAAAGGTAGCCCCGATTATTGCTGACTTAAGCATCGGAGTGTCTACCCCGAGGACCCACCTCGGGGCTTTGCAGGTCAATCTGGAGTGCAGATACGGACTGAAGAAAGACTTCTGGTTTGGTGCAATTACATTTGGCGCCGTCTGTGGGAATCCGAACTGAAAGCTCCCTTGTTGCTCTTATCATGGTTAAAACTAGGTCCGTCCGAGCTGGAAACTCATCTCAGCCCCTTGGACGAGGTCAGGTCCCCAGCAACCTTCCACCTCAGCCCTCACCCCCAATCCCAAATACATTCCCTCATGTTGACCATGCGGAAGGAGGAGATGAAAATCAGCCACACAATTCGGCTGACAATTCAGCCTCTACTGCCAACCAAGACGTAGTTGCAATTCAGCTCGCTGCCATGCAACAACAGTTTGGTGTCTTTCAGCTAGTGCTGGCTCAACTATTAGCTCGGAACAATCCTGGTGATCCACTCCTTAACCTACTCAACCCTGCTCCACAACCTCCAGCTCCACAACAAAATCCTGAACAAGTTCAGCATGCTCCTGCTATTAGTGAATCTCAAGGCCAATCTCACATTACACCAGTTCAGCAACCCCTTCATGATGGTGTCACTCGACGTCTAGACAACTTAGAAAAGCTAGTGGCTGAACAGCGAGGTGCCCCACCCCCACACCCTGCTGCTGACTCCGTAACCCACCCCTTCAACACCAACATTACATTAGAACCCTATCCCGCTGGCTTCAGAATACCACAACTTGAAACTTATGATGGGACGAAGGACCCCGATGATCATCTACATGCTTTCTATTCTTGCATGCAAGCCCAGAATGCCTCTGATGCGTTGATGTGCAAAATCTTTCCCTCTACCCTCCGAGGTAATGCTCGAACCTGGTACTACAGTTTACCTCCGAAGTCGATCAGCTCTTACACAGAAATGACATCTGCTTTTGCCACAAAGTTTTCCAGTAGAAGGTTGATCAAGAAAACCACTTCTGAGTTGATGCGAGTTAGGCAGAGGGACGGAGAGCCTTTGAAGAATTTTATGAGCCGATTTAATGATGCAGTGTTGGAGGTTAACTCTTTCGACCAGGCTGCGGGAATTATGGCTGTGATCTCAGGTTTTAGCCATGAGAGATTCAGGGATAGCCTGCTTAAACATCCTGCCACCACCTTCAACGAGGTAAATGATAGATCACTGAAATTTATCACTGCTGAGGAATATGCCCTGTCGCAGACCCCAGCTCCTATTAAGAACCAAAACTCGAATTGGAGAGATGAGAATCCGAACAGGAAGCGGATGAAGACAACACAGAACTGAGGTCCGATGCCGACTTCCACCCCGAGATTCGGAAGGTCGAATTCAGCACCTCCACAGCAACCTGCAGATAAACCTCCAGTTACTTGGTCTCCTTTTAACTTGCCGTGGTCACAAATCTTTATGCAGATTAAGAACAAGATGGATCTAAGGCGTCCTGGCCCAATGAGAACTACTGCTGCTAGCCGAGATCATACTAGATATTGTGATTTCCATTAAGATCACGGTCATACAACAGAGCAATGCAACAGCTTGAGGTCTGAACTGGAAGGTCTTGCCCAAAAGGGATTGTTAAATGAGTACATTCAAAGAGCTGAGCAGCCACGGTTTGTCAGAGAACAAGGGCCATAGCCTCAACGAGTCCGTAACCCGCCAAACCAGCAAGGTGTGGGATATCAGCAAGCCCCACCTCCGCTCCCACCACCAGCTAGAATCATACATATGATCATGGGAGGCCTGGAAGCCGATGGACTAAGATCTAAACAGTGAAAGTTTTATGTCAGAGAGGTTGAGCATCAGAACCGAGCTCAGAAGCGAAAGTTTGACGATGCTGAGTGGAAGAATCAACCGATTACCTTCACATATGTTGATCTCGATACAGTCGTCACACCTCACAATGACCCCCTAGTCACTTCTGTCACGATTAACAATTGTGAGGTGCAGCGCGTCCTTGTCGACAAAGGGAGTGCACCAGACATCATGTACAATTGTTTTGAAAGTCTTGGGTTGGATCCGGCTTTGTTGCAGCGGTATGATGGTCCCATCTATGGATTCAACAACCAGCCCGTCTCAGTTGAAGGAGTCCTCACCATGAATGTTGCATTTGGAAGTGACCGGAGTTATGTGACCCCTTCAGTTAGGTTTCTGGTAGTCAAGATGGCGTCCTCTTTCAATGTCGTCATTGGTCGACCCACACTAACTAAAATCCGAGCTGTGGTTTTCCAATCTCACCTATGCAAGAAATTCCCAACTCCTACGGGCATAGCAACGCTGCGAGGCAACCAAGAGGTGGCCCGACATTGCTATATCACCTCGGTAACACAACCTCAGAAGGGCAAAGATCAAACATCCAAGACTAATCCCAAACAGATTTCTAATGATTGGCAAGTTATGGGTGTTGAAATAATAGATAACCGACCAGAAGATGACACCAGAGCTGCTCCAGTCGAAGATGTGGAAGAGGTTCAGATTGATGATAGGGATCCGACCAGGAAAACACAGATAGGAACTTGGCTAAGTCCTGATGAGAAAACAGAACTAATAGCTTTTCTCCGAGCTAACAAAGATGTTTTTACATGGACCTCAGCAGCTATGCTGGGAATTCCCACTTCGGTTTATCAACATAAACTCAGCACCAATCCACTCAAGAAACCAGTAGCCTAGAAGCGGTGCCTCTTCGGGGGGGAGAGGTTAACAGTCATCAAAGAAGAAGTTGAAAAACTCTTGCAAGTTGGCTTTGTTAGACGAGTCGATTATTGTGAGTGGGTCGCCAATCCTGTTTTGGTGAAGAAAGCAAATGGCAAATGGCAGATGTGCATTGATTATACTAACCTCAACCAGGCATGCCCAAAAGACTGTTACCCAATGCCAAACATTGACAAGCTGGTTGAGGCAGCTTCTGGAAACGAGAGATTAAGTCTCCTAGACGCGTACTCTGGCTACCACCAGGTTCCAATGGCTCCTAAAGATGAAGAAAAAACCTCGTTCTATGCTGGCGATGAAATCTATTGCTATGTGATGATGCCCTTTGGCCTGAAGAACGTAGGTGCCACTTACCAGAAGATGGTTACCATTGTATTCCGAGCTCAAATAGGCCGAAATCTAGAAGTATATGTTGATGATATCATGGTAAAAAGTGCGAAAGCAGGAGATCACTTAACCGACCTCAAGGAGACATTTAACAACCTTCGAAAGAACAGAATGAGGCTGAATCCAGCAAAGTGCATCTTCGGCGTAGAGTCTGGGAAATTTCTTGGCTTCATGGTCTCTAGGAGGGGGATCGAGGTTAACCCTGAGAAGATCAAAGCAGTAGCCGAGATGGAACCACCGAAGTCAATGAAAGATATACAGAGGTTGACTGGAAGAGTGGTAGCTCTTCATCGATTCATATCGAAGTTAGCAGATAAATGCCTACCATTTTTCAAGATTATGAGGTCAGCCGTCCAGAAGGATGAATCGGGTAAACAGAAGAAGTTTGAATGGA